TCTAAAAAGGAACTATTTTGGGGGGGGGCACCTGACCACAGGCTTTACCGGCTATGAGGACACTTAATACCCATCTTAAGACACCTAAGACCCATCATAAGACACTTAATACTCATCTTCCAGGATTGCTGCACCATATTTGATAGGGTTCAAATATGGTTTGAACCATGGGAACACCTGCAAGGGCGATTAGAGGCCGCCCTAAAAGCCTCTATCCCTCTTGGAGAGCCTGGCAAGCTATCAAGAGTATTCCGCCCACATGGCAGAGCCTGGCAAGCTATCCATGGCGCATTCGATATGCCAAAACCAGTAAATACAATGGGTCTCATTCCCCTGACCCTGAAAGAGCCACAAATACGGCAGCATTAAGTAAATGAGAGGAAGAATCCTGAATTCCAACCTCCGTCGATGGTCAAGAATCAGGGACGCTGTCTTGTTTGCCAAGGCATCGAAAATCAGATGGGCTGGACACGCAATGAGTTTTGGAGACGACCGCTGGACTAGAGCCATTACCGACTGGATTCCACAGGACGTCAAAAGATCGCGTGGCCACCCACCTACAAGATGGTCAGACTTCTTCATCAAGATCATGAACGATCGGTTTGAGGCTCTTCGTGTTCCTAGAACGAGCAGATGCCATTGGGCTACACTAGCATGTGTCAGGGACAAATGGAGACATTACTGGCGCCGCTCGAGCAAATTGATGAGTAACGGGATGTCAAGTGATTAGTGAGGACACTGAGTGGCACCAAAACGTGTTCTCTAAATAAAGGCTGACTTTGCCTTAACACAGATAAGCCAGGAAGCACCGTACACAAAAGGCCTCGTGTGTCAGTAGCCACAGCACATGGCAGAACAGGAAAACCCACAGAGACCAACAATGGGAGAGTTTCTGCCACGCCCCGGATCGGAGGTGGGAGAAGGAGTCAAATCAACAGCATCACTCCGCGGGGTGTTAAACCCCACACGACATGGACACATTCCAAACCATGAAACGGTTCACATTTTTTTTTCGAAGGAGGAACACCCAGAAGTGCTCAGGGCTCACTCCTAACTCTGCACTCAGCAGTCACACCTGGCGGTGCTCAGGGGACCCAATGGGGTGCTGGGGATCGAACCTGGGTCGACACCCTCCCCGCTGCGCTATCGCTCCAGCCCCAACTGTCCACCCATTTTGAAGTGTATGTTTCATGACACTTAGACCCCCACAGACGCCTGAACATTTGCACCTCCTTTCGGGTAACCGGCTCCAATGACATGTTTGTTGGTGGTTCCGAGAGACCCTGGCAGGCTCTCTCGGCCTGTGTGACCCTTCCTCAGAGGAGTCTAGAATCCTCTGCTCCCCGCCCCTTCCCTACCATTCCCTGCCCAAATCCAACTCTGACAGGCAGGGATGGAGGAGAGCGTCCTCATTCCCCCTGGCCCCTCTGCTCTCTGGGCCCAACTTACAAATAAATCACAAAAGCACCCTGTCTGCAGCTCACCCCAGATTCTTCATTTTGTCTTATCAGCTCCTGTGCAGACTTAGTGGTACAGTGTTCTGGCATCAAAGTTTCAGAAGTTCTGCAAGTTTAACAAGACACCACCACACAACAATACGGTACTGTGGGGACAAAGCGTACCAGGCCCAGCAGCCCACAGCTGCTCCAGAATTTCGTGCAGGAAGGAGCCCCTGAGCACTGCTGGGTACAGTTTGCCCAAACCAAACCAAAACCAAAAGTGCTGCAAAAATGCGAGTTTGGTAAACCATGTATCCGCTGACTCTGATACATTAAATTATCTGGCTGAATTTTTCTTTTCAAGGTGGGGGCTCACACCTGACAGTGCTCAGGGGCTACTCGCAGCTTAGTGCTCAGGGGTCACTCCAACTCATGCCAGGCATCAAGCCCAGGCCTCCTGCATGCAAAGCAAGTGCCCACTGAACCATCTCTTCAGTTCTGGTTGAATCTTTTATAACTTCAATATTACTGGATGAAATCAGTCAGTCCTACACAAGAATCCAGGGGGAAAATAAAAGGTAAAGGTAAAGGCCCTCCCGTTGATCGTCGATTTGCTCGAGCGGGCCCAGTAACGTCTCCATTGGAGACTTTGTTGTTACTGTGTCTGGCATATCGAATACTCTCGGTAGCTTGCCGGGCTCTCCGAGAGGGGCGGAGGAATCGAACTCGGGTCGGCCATGTTGGCCGCTTGTAAGGCGAACGCCCTACCTGCTGTGCTATCGCTCCAGCCCTTTAGATAATAATAAAACAAAATATTTTATTATGCTGCTAAAGGAAAAAGAGAGCTGGGCCTTTCTATATGAGAAGAGAGAAAAAAAATGTGTGTTTTTCTTATGGAATATCTGTAAGTGCATTGGGAATCAAACGTGTACATTAAAACGTCTCCTTGAAAAATAATGTAGCCGGGGCAGTGATCTCTGTGGCAATGAGTCTTCTTGGCAAGCATGATCTTAAGATACAGCCCTCCTTGGAGCATTTTAAGAGCAACGGTGCCTTTCCTGAGAGCTGCTACAGACCCTGGGTCCTGTGTGTGATCAGGAGAAGCAGTGTTTCAGTGGCAACGCTGCCACCCCTCCCCCCCATCAAGCGAACTCTTGTCCAGATACCAAGAGGAACGCTTGATCCAAGGAAAAAGAGGGGTGGGAGAGGTGTAGAAGGAAGGGTCCTTCCCGCGCGGAAGCCCCTCTGAACTTGCCATCTTGTACCCATGCATTGTCTGTCTACCGAATGGGCTTCTGGGCTCAATGACCCTCACGATTCAGACACACAGACCTGGGGTTGTCGGGTCTGATTTTTCTTTTTTTTTTTTATTAGAATGAAGAAATGAGAACATTCGGATTTTGTGGAAAACTCATAATTTTGCGATCTTGGCTTCTGCCAGAGTTTCACACACGGGGCAGGCCAAGCAAAACACACCTGCAAAAAAATCAGAACCGGCTCCAAAAGTCATTGTGAGCCGAAAGTCTGATGTTAATATCGGATGATTCCCAAACCGGAAACCTCAGCTAATGGGGGGAAACTTCAAAAAGGGAGCTGAGACCTGAGAGCGAGACTATGTCCCGTGCTGTCTCTCCACCTGACCCTCTCGTCTCTCTCCGACTGACCCTGGCCTTCACAGGTCCCTTCAACTCCACGGCCCAGCTAGCCATTTCATGAAGGAAGTGTCCCTGACCCCTTGCGCTCTTTTTATTTTTTTTAGTTTGGGGGTCACACTCGGTGATGCTCAGGGGTTACTCCTGGCTCTGCACTCAGAATTACTCCTGGGGGCGCTTGGGCGTTCATATGGGCTGTTGGGGATCAACCCGGGCCGGTCACATGCAAGGCAAATGCCCTCCTTGCTGTGCTATTGCTTTGGCCCACTTCAGAAGGCTGAGTTACAGGGTCATTTTCTTTTTTTTTTGTTTTTTGTTTTTTGGGGGGTCACACCTGGCGATGCTCAGGGGTTACTCCTAGCCCTGCACTCAGGAATCACTCCTGGAAGTGCTCAGGGGACCATATGGGATGCCGGGAATCGAACCCGGGTCGGCCACATGCAAGGCAAACGCCTTACCCACTGTGCTATCGCTCCAGCCCCATGGGGTCATTTCCAAGGCAGGATTCTTAGAGGCAACTTAAGAGAACAGGTGATTTGCCATGTGAACTAGAAAACGTTGGATCCTCCACGGCCAGGAAACCCCAAAGCCACGTCCCCCCTCCAGAGCACGACGCTGCTCCACAGACAAGAGAGAGGCCACAGTCAACTCACACGGCCCGGAACTGTGGCTGGGGATCCTCAGAGGCGCGTCCCCAGGTCTCACTCGGGCCCCGAGAGCGAGGTGGCATTTCTCAAATGCCCAGAGAACCCCCGCGGCGTTGGCTCAGCTCGTAGCCCTGGCCCTCGCAGGGTGCCGCTCCCCTCTCGCTGGCCTGCATGAAATCCCCTTTGTCAGCTCGGCCACGCCCACCGGGTTCCCCATACAGGCGACACCTCCTTTCACTGTTCCCCTGGATGCTCTACACCCATCACACCGGAAGAGGGTCCTGATGCTGAGTGACTTGGCACTGCCCAGCATGCCGGGCTTAGCCAGAGCTGCTGGCTGCCACCTGTGTGAGTACCGAGACTCCTGTCTGGTGGGCCGGGTGTCCAGTCCAGGCCAAGAGGGCATGAGCACATGAGCAGCCCATGAGAACACGGCCCATGCCCACGTGCAGGGCCACGCTGGGCTGGCTAAGCGGACAGGCACCTGAACCATGCCATCAACCTAGGGACTCATGACTTCCTCTGAGTCTACTGGGATCTGACCCACTGCCAACCCAGGCAGATCTAGACCCCGTGTTCGCTCTTCCGAAGAGCAGCCTCTCGCCACCAGAGGGTCCAGCACTGACCTGGGGCTCCCCCAGGGATGGGGGTGCTGAAGAGCAGTAATGAAGAGGCAGGACGCGGGCACTTGCAGGAGGAGCCGTCCCTTTGGTCAAACACCCTGTGTCACACCCAGCAGGCCCGACCACCAACACACTCTGAGTCCAGGGAGTATTTCGAAAACCAACCGCCTGGGTATTTTTGTCTTTTAACCCCACTCTTAACGCAAACATGTTCGCTGTGAGCCAGGCGATTCAGATACACCAAAGTTACAGACCAGCAAGCGACTCGTGCCACCGTGAAGTGGCGGCCAGGGAAGCCACAGCACATCCAGTGACCAAGAAGATGAAGCCCACTTTGTGGTCAAAGCTTGGCCCATGCGCTCCAAAGGACGGGGCCAGCAGTCAGCAACTTCACTTATGTGCTTCCTGCTCTCTGGACAGCACCGTCCATTCTCCCACAGCCAGAAGTGAGGTGCTCTCGGCGAGTACCACCGCCCCCCTACTAGCCTGCAGAGGTTCTCTGTAACAAGCAATGACTCGCTGGTGTGGGCTCTAAGGGGGGCAGTCCAATAAACCGCTTCCTCCGTCTTGTCCCTGGGAGGTGAGGCCCCGCCTGGCACAGACACGGGTGCCCCAGCACGAAGCACGCTCGGTCCTTACCTCTGCGGCCTGAGTCTCCTGATGCAGCAGCGTGAGGCCGGTCAAGTCTTCTAAGAAGGAATGTGAAGAGTTGAACACCTTGGCTAAGAAGCTGAATCCGTCTCGCTCATATTGATCGAGAACCTGCAAGACAGGGAGGACTCCGGATTTGAATGCTGATTAAGAAGGTCTTAACTCCCAACGAGCCCTTGTTGAAGGGGAGACGAAACCGAGCTCCCACTGGAGGAGGAGGACAACAGCTGGAGCCCAGCTCCTCAGCCCTGCAAGCCCACTGCAGCACAGGGCACGCGAGAGATCCCGCCACACACGTGCGGCCCGGCCACCACGCACGCACCAGGGCACGGCACTGGTACGAGCTGGAAGCAGCAGCAGAGGAAAGAGTTCAGTGCCAGAAATCGGGGGAGGGGTCCTCAAGGGCAGCTGCTGGAGGGAGATCCTGGGGTGCTGCTGAGAAACTTTTCCACTGGGAGCTGGTGACCCACAGGGGACAGGCCTGAAGTCCTAACAGTCTGAAGAGAACGGGACGGAGGCTTCTCACGGCACCCTGAAACCAGCAGAGAGCCTGCTTGGGAAGTCTGGGCCGCATGGCGGGAGGTGCAGTGTCAAGGGCTCGGGAGAAATGCAGAGTGGGCACTGCGGCAGGAGCAGCACACACGAAGCATGGAGTCAACTGTTTCCTCCTTCCCACTGAGGGTGCAGGGAAAGGGGCTTCTCTTGCGTAAGGCCCCGGATTCCATCCCTGGCCTCACCTCCGACTCCCCCAGCCCTAAAAAAGAAATGGAAATGCAACAACCCTTCCACCCAGCAATGAGAGAGAGAGAGAGAGAGAGAGAGAGAGGAGACAGGAGGGAGAGAGTGAAAGTGGGAGAAAAAGAGAGAAAGAGAGAGGAGACAGGGAGGGAGAGAGAGAGAGAGAGAGAGAGAGAGGAAGAGGGAAAGAGGAAGAGGGAAAGGGAAAGACAGGGAGAGACAGGGAGAGACAGGGAGATCTTCACGGGTACAGCAGGTGACCAGAAGCCGCTGCCAAGGGCCCACCTCTTCTTGGTTAACTGAATCTCGTGCCCAGACAGTCGGCGCATAACCTGGGTCTTGTGCAGGAGTGAGGCAGGGCAGAGGCCAGAACGCAGGTCCTGCAAGCACATGGCCCAGAACTCTGCCTGCTGCAGCCCTGGAGGCCAAGATTGCTGATCTCAAGGGTCACTGCATCACCAGCTTCTAGGACTGGATGGTCTAGCCTATAACACCCGGTCAAGCTTTCCAGAGTCCTGGAGGCTTGGGGGCCCCCAACCCCCACAATAAAGGGAAATGGCAGCTCTCCAGAGCTGATTTCAAGGACATTAAAAGATAGATTAAAGACAGTCTGAATTACATTGATGTTTGATATATTTTGGGGACACGCTCAGCGGGGCTCAGGGCTGACTCCTGGCAGTGCTTGGGGAACCCTATGGGTGCCAGAGATTGAACCCTCTTGTAAGGCCAGTGCCTTATCCCCTGAAGGGTCCCTCTGCCCCGGATGTGCTTTGAAAATAAAGGTAAGAAAGGAGAGCGGAAAGAAAGCAGACGAAAGGTCAGTGGGATGAGCTGGTTCACACAACAGTTCTCCTTGAAGAAGGCGCTCCCCGCCCCCCACCCACCCACCCCGCCGCCCACCCCCGCACCAAGCTTGCCTCCTGCATGCGCCTTTTTCCTTCTGGATTTTTCCAGACTCATGTGCACTGTGTTACTCCTTCAGACAAAAGCACATCCTCTGCGGGGCCCCACCCTTGGGCCTGGGAAGTGAGGGGTTCAGGGGAGCAAGGCCAGAGTGCTGAGCTGGAGGGTTGGGAAACAGGGTGGGCATGGGGTCAGGGGTCAGAGGTGGTGGGGATGGCCGCTGAGGGCGGTGAGACGGGAGGCCTCGACTCTGCTCCAGACAGGGAAACTGGGGGAGGAAAGGGGCTCAGGACCTCCCGAGCTTGGGGACTGGCACATTGGGGCCATGGGCAGGGCAGGCAAGGAAGGCGGAGTCTGTGGGGGCAGAGCAGCCTGTGGGGTGGGGGAACTGACTCTGGCTCCCGCCGGGGAGCCCCCAAGCTCAGCAACCCTGCGCACCGGGTCCGCCAACTCTGCAAAGCACAACGGAAATAACTCCCGGGGACCCCTCTGCGGCGCCTTCCCTGCCCACCCTGATTCCAAGCCTGTGTGTCCCCAGACAACTGTGCGGACCACCTCCCTCCGGAGGGCAGGACCCTCTCAGGACCCTCTCGGCCTGCGCCACTGGACGCAGGGGTTAAAGTGAGCTGTTGTTAATGGGCCGACTCGGGGAGTGCGGGGAGTGCGTGGCAGAGGGACCCCTCTGGGGGCATGTTCCGTCAGGCAGCGCTTTCCAGAGCCTCTTTATGTGCTGGGAAGTTAATCTGGGTTACGAGGATAAGCAGCTTATAAAAGCTACCAGGATTTTTTCCGCCCTACAAACAGCTTAACCTTCTTAAAGGGGAAAAATGTGCTTTAAATTACTCTCCTTCCCCACAGAAAGGGCGGAGGAAAGGTGCTGTCACGTGACCCGGGGCCCTGCTGCCCCCACCAGGGAGCTACACCTGCCGGGCGAGGCACATGCCCCCACGCCCTGCAGAGATGGCAGAAAGATCCAGAACCTTTCCTAGCTAGGGAAGGAGCCGGTCCCCCCCCTCGCCCTTAGCCGGACGGTGGCATGTGAATCTGTTTCCAGTAGGGGTTTAGAAAATTGGCAACTTCTCTTGCTGAGACTGCTGGCGCTTGACCAAATCAGCGCCATCCTCAAGCCTTGGTCTGGTGTTGGTTCTTGGGCTACACCCGGGGTGCTTAGGGCTTCCTCCTGGCTCTGTGCTCAGGGAGGATGTGGGGCGTTGGGGATAGCTGCGGGGGAGGCCCGGGCCTGCTCTCCTACCTCTCAGGCCCCCTCCAGCCTTCCTAAATCCCTCCATGACCCTCCCATTGTGGGTGACCTGCCCATGCAATGGTCTTCCTTTCACGGGAAGCAGAAGGGGTTCGGCTTTTGCAGCTCTCCCGTGAGACTCCGGAGCTGGGAGCAGCGTACCCCACCTAACACAACGCAGCTGACGTTTTGGTCCAAAAAAGAAGAGTGCAAGGCTCCATGAAGTGAAGTGCTTACTTCAAAGTCTTCGTGGCTGGGGCCATAGTACAGCGGGGAGGGCGCTGGCCTTGCACACGGCTGACTTGGGTTCGAGTCCCAGATCTCATGTGATCTCCTGGGCACCGCCAGGAGTAATTCCTGAGCGCAGAGCCAGGGCAATTCCCTGAGCATCACCAGGGGTGGCCCCTCAACAAAAGTACTAACTACAGAAAAACAGCCACCACCATGCTGAGACCACTCTCCACACGCATGAAGGTACCGGCAGAGGAACAAAGGCATGCGGGTTCCGGGGCTGAGCATCCTCCACCCAGATCCTCCATATTCCAGTAGGCAGGGGTCACAGCCACCAACTGGCCCCCTGGCGCCGTGTAATCCCATCAACGGCCACGACCCAGAGACTATAAAACCCAGATCCCGGAAGAGAACAGTGCAGAGTCTCCTGCCCCCGCGCCTGGCTGTTCTCGCCGGGGCCCCTTAGAGGGGGGTGGGTTGACTTTCCCTCCCCACCCCACCCCGAACAGAGCTCCGGCAGCCAAAGACCTCCAGAACCAGCCACCACCATGCTGAGACCACTCTCCACACGCATGAAGGTACCGGCAGAGGAACAAAGGCATGCGGGTCCCAGGGCTGAGATCTCCAAGCCTGCTCGGATCGGGGCTGAGCATCCTCCACCCAGATCCTCCAAATTCCAGTAGGCAGGGGTCACACCCACCAACTGGCCCCCTGGCGCCATGTAATCCCATCAACAGCCAAGACCCAGAGACTATAAAACCCAGATCCCAGAAGCATGGAGCCACAAATGCGGCCACATGCCATCTTCTTATCTCATTCCTACTTTGGACAAACTGGCAGGCTACCGAATATAACCTGCCCACACGGCAGAGTCTGGCAAACTCCCCGTGGCATACCCAATATGACAAATACCAGTAACAATGATGGGACTCATTCTCCTAACCCTGAAAGAGCCTTGAATATGGCACATTTTTAAAAATCTCAGGGCTAGATCGAAGGAGATGTTACTGGGGCCTGCTCGAGGCAATCGACGAACAACAGGATGGTCGTGATCGTTGTGGTCGTGATCGTGACAGAAAAACAACCAAAAAAGTTTCTGTGGTTTAGAAACCATTTTCAGTCACTCTTAATGATTTAAAAATACAGGGGTGTCAGTTTTGTTTGTTTGTTTTTTTAGATCACACTTGGCCGTGGTCAGGGATCACTCCATAAAGACCTGAGGGACTCTGGCAATATGCCATGCCTGGGATTGAACCCTGTCAGCAGCATGCAAGCGGGTGCTCTCCTCACTCTCTGCCCAGTATGTGTATCTTTACTGCTGAAAACTTAGGATAAACTTGTCCAGTGTCTGAGCAGGCAATGCAGGAAGCCAACAGGATTGTTAGTCCTCGTCCTGGGAGTGTCCACAGAAGGGGCCATTACCCGTCATAGCTGAGGCATGTTGAGGGCGAATCCCTGCTCCCCAGAAGTGTGGGAGAAGCACCCACTTCACACAGGGGGCCGGCACCCTGCCGAGAAGGTCAAGGAATGCTCAGAGCAGCTTCCATGTCGGAACCAATCAGCAAAGGATGAAAAAGAGCCTCAGTGTGGCAGCATTTACGACACCCTCCCTGCCCCCAGCTCCCCACCCCCCATGGACTGGCACCCCGAAAAGCTTCCCTCCAACCCTAATAGCGACACCTGAGATCTCTTGCTTCCTCCACCCAAGCCCCACTCCATTTCCACCTCCTACAGGAAGTCTTCCCATGAAGCCCAGGCCTGTGGGCCCGGGTACTGAGAGTGCTGTGGGCACTGGGCTACCTCCCTGCCGTCCTGTCACTGGGAGCTGATGGCACCTCCTAGCTGCAAGACAGGCTCAACAACCAGGCCTGGGCGCTGGGGCACGCTGGTGAGCAGAGCGGATGAGGAAACTGCTTCAGGGGAAGCTTATCTCACCCACGGGGCAGGACAGGCAAGGCCACGAGTTTAGAGAAACAAGGCAGAGCTGAGGCCAAGGTGC